GGATGCTGTGAGGAAACTTCCCAGTGTTCGCAGTGCTGACCTGTCAGGAGCAAGGGGGCTCATTCCTCCCTGCTACCTGTTCTCCCTCTGTATCCACTTCAAGATGGACATAAACCTCAGGAAATTTCTTCCAGAGCATTTCAGACACCCCTTGGTACAGTGGCAAACCCGTCTATGGTTTTCTTTCAGTATAATTTTCAAGTAATGTGAATGATCGCACCAAACCTTTTCTAGCTCTGATCTACCTTCTCTGATGCTACCATTACAGTTTTCTCAGTCTCCTCACCAAGCCTAAACTAGTAGTAGCAGGAGGTGTTCTGCTCCCCATACATTTTGAGCTGTGTTGCAGGCATGCAGAAAATATTGAGCCACCATGAGATGCTGGGAGTTAAAAAAGACCAAGATTCAGCCTGGCTGCTGCTGGTGGGTACCAGGCCTGCCCTTGTTGTTTGTGGTCAGTGTAGGAGCATGGAAGGTGGCGGGGCCTTCACCAGGCCATTCAGCATGGTTTCGGCTCTAATCTGTCCCCTCCTTGGCCGCACTACTGGCTGCTTGCAAATTGATTCTTCTGAGAAGGAAGCAAAACTTCCATGAGAAAGCCAAGTCAGTGACACGCTGCTTGATTTCAGAATTTAAGGTCTCTTAAGAGCTGAGACTCAACATTGCATTGGTGAGCTTTGAAGCCACTTATTCACTGCAGCCCAGTGCATAAGAGAGAGGTCAAGAGAACCTGTTCTTTACTTTGCACTCTGTGGGTGCTCATCAAGGCACATGTAGGGGTGAGTGTTGCTGTGTGTGTTAGCAGAATCCAAGGAAAGAAAATCCTGGGACTTCCCTGGTGGTGCAGTGGTTAAGATGCCACACTTCCAATGCAGAGGGCGCAGGTTCTATCCTTGGTCAGAGAACTAAGATCCCACATGCCCAGTGGTGTGGTCAAAAAAAAAAAAGGAAAGAAAGAAAATCCTATAGCATGTTTCTTTTTCTTGCTAAGAAGCATTATTATAGTATGAGTAAGTGCTCGTTTGCTGTGTTTTATGGAGCTTCCCAGGTGGTGCAGTGGTAAAGAATCCACCTGCCAATGCAGGAGACACAGGTTCAATCCCTGGACCAGGAAGATCCCATGAAGAAGGAAATGGCAGCCCATTCCAGTATTCTTGCCTGGGAAATCTCACAGACAGAGGCACCTAACAGGCTACAGTCCAAGGGGCTGCAAAGAGTTGGACATGACTGAACACACACACACACTCACATGCACATTGCCTCTTTAGCCCTTTGCTTGTGTTTTTTTTTTCCCCTTTAACTACCTGGCAGTTTTCTTCCAAGGCTCATCCCAAGTCCATCACCACTATTTCTAGTAGATACAGTTTTACTCACTTCAGGGTCCATTTCGACCTAACCCTGTTCCCCCCTTGTCTGCTTATTCTTTTCTTCTTGTTTCCGCCCAGTGGCAGTCTTTAAGAGGTACCCTTGGAGGTCTGCAAAAATAGTCCTTTTGCAAAAAAATTTAAAAGAGGAATATTTTATAATTTACATTATATGAACATTCTAACAAGTTGATATTATATGAGGAGACATTTTATACTCAAAGCAATGACTGCATTTGCAAAAATTATTTTTTGAAAGAAAAGGAATAAAAATGTTAATACTGTTTGCCTTAAAATTGGGATTTGTGTTAACTTTGACATACTGCATATAATCTTTGTTAGGATATTAAGTGAACTTCATGAAATCACTGGCCACAGAAGTAAAAGGTAATATCAAATTCTTATACTTGGTGAGTAGTATACAGTTGCATGAAAGCCATCATGTTCCAATAATAACTGGCAATAACAGTATATAGAATACAGCTTCTCAGTGTACGTATGAAGGGTAACTAAATCTTTGGGGGCAATCGTATGAAATCACAGGTGTCTGGATGAGACATATTCAGTCTAAAGAGTGCCTAGTTTAATGGGATTTTTGGTTTTGTTCATTACACTTGCATTATAATATTAATATTTACATCTTTAGGCAGTTAATGCCAAAGAGGGAAGTAGGGGAGAAAGATTCTCTTTAGTTTCATTTTAAGTTACCTCTCAGTATTTACTTGATGGAAAAGTTTTGTAACTGTTTGGCATGTGAAAGGCTCTTCTAAAATGAGGTATAAGACCCAGAAAAATGAAATGTGTTTGTCACTGAATATTAAGCATTTGTTCTGTGCCTGGCACTGTGCTAAGCGTTGAGTAATAAAAGATGGCACTGTCCTTAATACCTACTGTTCACTGAATTCTTACCCCTAAGGAGTAGGGTTGAATCTTCCATTTTGATTCTAGTGAATGAAAAGCATTCTGTTCCCCTTTGGACAAGGGAGGTACTTCCTTTAGCAACCACCAGGTGTCAGTAGAGGACTTGGAACTCTTGACAACAAATGGGTTCTTGGTTTTCCTAACTCACTAAGGCCATCCCCCTTTTGACTTTTCAAAGGCAGTAGACCTCCATTGGGCCGCTGTCTCCCAAATATTAGTGTCAAACACTTTCTCCTCAAAATTGCATTACATTCCTTCACCTTATAAAAGTAGCACAAATTTCTTGACCTTTTTCTACTTTAAAGATTTTATTTCTGTCTTTCACAGTGATGGTTCTCCAGAGTAGGGGTAGGGGAGATTCAAACAAGCTCCTGTTGTTTCCACTGATCCCGTTCCCCAAACTGCTGGAGCCCACTGTCAGCTGATATGGGGAAAGGTGGAGGGTCTGTTCTTTTTCCTGCACAAGGAAACAGTTTGATGGTGGAGCTTGATGGCTCCAAACTGTAGAAGGAAGTGTCAAGAGAGAAAGTCCCGGAGATCCACTGGTCCAGGCATTTGATTCCTTGTGTAGCCCGTGTTCACTTATAGACATTAAGGAATGGTGTGTTAATTGACAGGGGAAACCTTGGAGAGGCTGGTATTGATTTATTTCATACAGATTTTCTTCAGTTTCTCGTCTTGCCTCCTCACTCTATATTTATCTGTTTGTCTATCTATCTACCTATCTGTGCTTGCTTGCCTGCTAAGTCATTTCAGTCATGTCCGACTCTTTGTGACCCCATGGACGGTAGCCCACCAGACTCCTCTGTCCATGGGATTCTCCAGGCAAGAATACTGGAGTAGGTTGCCATTTCCTTCCCCAGGGGATCTTCCTGACCCAGGGATCGAACCCAGGTCTCCTGCATTGCAGGCAGATTTCTCTATCTGACTTACTTCACTCCATATGATCATCTCTACTTCCATCCATTAGTTCATTCTTTTTATTATTTGCCTCCTCACTTGGCAAGTGGTAATAGATTTAGTAAAGTGAAGAATCTGTATGTTGCCGTGCCCTCCTTCAGTCCCAACCCAGGGATCGAACCTGCATCTCCTGGGGAGCACTTGTGGGTCATCAGGGGCTAGGGTGGGAGAAGGTGCAGAAGGGCTACCTTGGACTCTCAGGCCTCTTTTCAAGCCTTATAAGATGTCAGAAGTGGTGGCACTTGGAGGGATGTCAGTTCAAATGAGCTGCTCAGCTGTTGGTAAACTGAGGGAGAGACAGACTGGGAAGCTGGAGACACAAAGTCAGCAGCTGGCTTCAGTAGCTAAGGCTGCCAGGGTGCGTGGCCTGCAGGGGTTGGGGAGTCACACATGATGCACAGCCCCAAGTCTATGCCCTGAAGTAAGTAAGGGCCCGACTGATGGATAGTTCTGTGGTTTAGTACACTGTGGGGATTTCCTTTGGGCCAATCAGAGCAATTTGACAAATCATATTATAGCTAACTCCAGTAACTATTCAGATTCTTCCGACGTTTTATAGTGAATGAAATATCACAAAGAAGGCAGCACATCAATAGGGATTCAAAAATACTTACAGGATTTTGCTTCTGTAGAGATTTTTGTCATGATAATCAAAGAAGGTCACCTTGTTCTCGAAAACATCATGTAGGATATCCTTAAAATATTCCATAAACACATGTGCCATTGAAGAGGTCAGCTGATGTTCTTACTGCGGCCGTGCCCAGCTATGTATTGGGCAGAAGCTCTCAGATCAGACCTGGGAAGGTGCTCAGACCTGTATTAGGATGTACTTTCAAACACATCATTAACCTGACCCAGAGATTTTTACAGAAGGTAATGCCTGTGGCATCAATAATGTGTTGTTGTTGTTTTTCAGTCACTCAGTTGTGTCCAACACTTTGCAACCCTATGGACTGTAGTCCGCCAGGCTCCTCTGTTCATAGGATATCTCAGGCAGGAATACTGGAGTGGGTTGCCATTTCCTCCTCCAGGGGATCTTCCCAACCCAGGGATCAAACCCACACCACCTGCATTGGCAAGAGGATTCTTTACCACTGAATTACCGGGGAAGTCCAATAATGTGTTAAGCAACTTTTTTTTTTAAGTTCTTTAATGTTGGCTTGGAGATCCAACCAGTCCATCCTAAAGGAGATCAGTCCTGGGTATTCATTGGAAGGACTGATGCTGAAGCTGAAACTCCAGTACTTTGGCCACCTCATGTGAAGAGTTGACTCATTGGAAAAGACCCTGATGCTGGGAGGGATTGGGGGCAGGAAGAGAAGGGAATGACAGAGGATGAGATAGCTGGATGGCATCATTGACTTGGTGGACATGAGTTTGAGTCAACTCCGGGAGTTGGTGATGGACAGGGAAGTCTGGCGTGCTACGATTCATGGGGTTGCAAAGAGTCGGACACAACTGAGTGAACTGAACTGAACTGAAACTGAATGTTGGCTTGACTTCCAGTTAATGTGGTACCTACCTATGGGATTGTGTAAGGGGCAGATCTAATTGTCCACAATCAGAGTGTCTTTCCTGTATGATGGCTTTGGCTCATGGCCTCTGGCCTTTCCCAGTGCTTCAGGGACTCCTATAGCAAGTGTCTGCTTATTCCCGGAAACTGGAGTCTGCAGATTCTGGCCACGTTGCTCGGTGTCGATTCTCATGTCTCTCAGCAGCAGTCTTACCGTCCCTTCTCCCTCCTGCCCTTTTCAGATCACTGGGGTGATCCTGCTGGCCGTTGGAGTCTGGGGCAAACTTACTCTGGGCACCTATATCTCCCTTATTGCCGAGAACTCCACAAATGCTCCCTATGTGCTCATCGGCACTGGCACCACCATCGTCGTGTTTGGCCTGTTTGGATGCTTTGCCACATGCCGTGGTAGCCCATGGATGCTGAAACTGGTGAGTAGGTCACAATGGAATACTGCTTTTGGGTTGTTTTGTAAAAATGCAAATCACGTGAAAGCGAAGTGGCCATTCTTGAAGCCACAGACGAGAGCTTGATATTCATTGACTCTAATTTTAGTCCAGACTCTTACCTAACCTACTCTTTAGTTCCCTAGAGGGACAGACAAGCCCAGACACAGCCTGGCACAAAAAATCCAGTCCTGGTCCCTCGAGATAGATGATGACAAAGCAGTGGCCAGCAGTTCCAATAAGCCATTTATAGCCATTTATAGCAAGATGGCCTGTTCTAGTTTTGAATTCAGTCTTAGAAATCTCCTGAAGCATGTGATGTGCAGCCTTGGTAGGTGAGGCAGCACCTTAAACATAAGCAGCCTTTCATGCCCAAGTTCCCAGTGGAGAAATACTTTTCTGCCTCCTTGAGCTTGGCCGTGCTCAGATGCACGGGCATGCTCTCCTCTGCATCTGCGTCCCCTGGCTCCATGTGGTGGGAGCTAAACTAAGCCAGAGCTTCCCCACTCAATACAGGGTTGATATGGGACCAAATATCGGCTACCAGGATCTGGTAATAGGACAAACACAGCAGTGATGTTTCCCAAAGAGTAAGGCAGGCTGTTGAAAGACTGTTACTGCAAGTCTCCACTTTTTGGTAGACCAGTTGCCTAATTCTCTACTCTCTTGTCTGTTAATATGGAAGGTTTTCATAGATAAAAGTGACTTCCCTGGTGGTTCCAATGGTGAAGAGTCTGCCTGCAATGTAGGAGACACAGGTTCAATCCCTGGGTTGGGAAGAGCCCCTGGAGGAGGGCATGGCAACCCACTCCAGTATTCTTGCCTGGAAAATCCCGTGGACAGAGGAGCCTGGTGGGCTGCAGTCCATGGGATTGCAGAGTTGGACACAACTGAGTGACTAACACTTTCAATACTTTTCATAGATAAAAGGCCACAAGGGGCTCTCCTCAAAAGACAACTTTATTTAAAGGGATTTCTCTCAGACTTCTTGTTCTCTGAAAGGGGAGAGTGGAGATTCCATGAGTAGTATGTTGCCTGTCCTTTCTTGTTTAGCCCTAGATTGTAGTAACCCTTAATACCATCTAGTGACAGATATGGTGTGAAGATGATTCACTCCATAGGACCCATTTTCCCGGTCTCTTTGTTGACAGCCTCATGGAGGTTGTGCTTGATTTGGCCACTTTCTGCCCTGCAGACCATGCGGGAAGCTGATACCTGGCCACCACTGATCCTCCAGGTTGGTGGAAAAGCCGTAGTGAGGCACTTCTGCTGCTGTCACCTCCACTAGCACCCTGAGTCAACCTTCACTTCTTACAGGCACTAGTGTTTCCTTTGGTCTAGGGTTGGTAGTCTTCAACTTTGATCCATATCTAAGTCACCTGGGCAGCTTTTTAAAAACACCTCTGCCAGGGACCCACCCCCAGCCAATGGAACCAGAATCTCTGGTGGTGAGGGTCTGGCCACATATTTTCTGAAAGCTCTCCAGGGGGCGCTATTGCACAGCTAGGGCTGAGACCCTCTTCCTGGGTACAGTGATTAGCAAGGGGAGAATTAACTTCAGAGGCACAGAAAAGAGAGACCTCTGCAATTCCACCTGTCCAGACAAGAAGGGAAGAGACCTGGAGACCCTGACAGGCCCTGACACTAACTGGCTTAAGTCTTGACGGCAAGGATGTAACCTCTTTGGGCCTCTGTCCCCATTTATGAAGGAACACTATAGGACTAAATCACCAAGGTTTCTTCCAGCTTAAAGACTATGACTGAAGCAGAACATGGCATGCAACAATGGAACAGTTGCACTCTGGCCTCTTCTGAAGGTGGTTTCACAGCAAACTTCCATTTTCTCCTAACACTTGTGAGCTTACTGACAAGCAAGCCTTTTGGGGAGTAGAGAAGTTTGGGGGTGGGGATTGGTCTTGATTCCAGTTCCCTGCTGTGTTGTCCTGTGGACGTACTACATTTTATTTATTCTTCACCACCACTGTGAAGTGCAGGTTGTATTTTCATATTATGTGGTAAAGACTTGGAGGTGTGTGTACAACTAATGTGCACAGACCTGGGTTTGGAACCCAGAAAAGCTTCTTTCCAAAGCCAGGACTGTTTCTACTGCAGTATTTTTCATTTGGAGAAAACTTGAACCCTACCACCTGAATGTAATACAGGCTATCCCCAGTAGACCTTTTGAAGGAGCAACAGCTCTTCTCTGGAAGCTTCCAGAAGCAGAGAACCTCCCAGGGATGCGAAACTGCTGATCTAGCTGAGCAGAACAGAAGTCACTCGATTAACTGTCTCTCTAGAATGTTAACAGTCCTCATTTAACCTCATTAATTGCAAAACAACTAAAAATAACTATTTTCATTTTATGGAGGCTCAGAGCTGTGGCCTTGTTGCCTAACAGTTACTCCACAACATGGCCAGGACTCCAATCCAGGAGGATTTCTGACCACAGAGTCTTCTTCCCACCTGCCTCCTAACAATTACTCTCTCACAGTACTGTCTCGTGGAGTCTAGGCCTGGGGTAAGACTCTCCCTAGAGTAAAGGGTGTTTCTAATTGTGCACTGTACCAAGTTGGAGAGGAGGTTGTATACATGGAGCCTTCATTTCATTACTGTGTTTTTGGTAGTGCCTGTGTTTTCAATGTGCAGAGAGACTCACTGGCATTTTAAGGCTGTATTTCCTCCTTTGAATATAGATGCCCCTAGCAGAGAAAAATAATTTATGATCCTGTGCACAGATGTGTACTTTACAAGTAAGCAATATGGCCATGTGCAGGGTACCCAAATTCCAGGGCATCACCAAGGACCATTCCCAACATTTGGGACTGGTGTATTTCATTTCAGGATGAGAAGAAGCAGATTGTAAGACATATGCCTCATAGGAAAGGAATCAATTCTCTTTCCTTTTATCTGCTTTTCAAAGTCACAAAAATGGAAAGCTTTAATGTCTTGTAAGTACCGTGTAATATCCCTGAACTTGGGCATGCATGCTCACGTGCATGCACACACATACACACACACATACACACAATCGCCTTGGAAAGTACAAGAAGCATGAAATGTATAAGAAGCAGTGAGGGTTTTCGATGCTTGCAAACATTATTTGTCAGTAGCGTAGCCGATTTGCTCTTCAAAAGGCTATGGAGTGCGCAGAACACAGAGGTAAGAGGCCCATCGCTGCAGGGGCTGCATTCAGGGCAGAGAGTGGAAGGATGTCATGTCGCCTGTGCATTTTCCAGCCGCTCTGACAAAGGAAGAGGGTTTGAAGCCACTTGGTAGGAGATGTGCTTAAGGAAATGGGAGGGGATGCCTGAAGGGAGTGAAGCAGCTGGGTCCCTCCATGACTGGGTTCTCACACAAAGGGCTGTAGCATAGAAGAGAAGTTGGGCTGCTTCTGGTGTCTCCTGAAGGCAGATTTGACTCCAACCCGGTGGAAGTTGCAAGGAGGCCCACTGTGGCCAAGGGGAAGAAGGCTTTCTAGCAATCGAAACAGTTTAAAACCTGAATGCGCTGCCAGCAATGGGCAGGTGGTGGGAGTGTTCTCAACTTGCAGACTCCAAGTGACCTTGATGAAGAACGTGGTATAAAGGGCTCATGCCCCCCTCCCCCAGCACTCTACCTTGAGGAGCCTAACATGAAGAACAGCAGATGAGAAAAGTGAAAGTGTTCATCGCTCAGTTGTATCTGACTCTCTGTGACCCTGTGGACTGTAGCCCACCAGGCTCCTCTGTCCGTGGGATTCTCCAGGCAAGAATACTGGAGTGGGTTGCCATTTCCTTCTCTGGGGGATCTTCCTTACCCAGGGATTGAACCCAAGTCTCCTGTATTGCAGGTGGATTCTTTGCTATCTGAGTCACAGTAATGGATACGTAGTTGTAAAAAGCCCTTCCAGATTTCTCCTGGTGGAGCCAACCTCAGAGGCCTGATGTTGGTCCCTGGATGCACTGTCCTCGGCCCATGTGCCCCCAAATGCTTATATGTATTGAATAGATGCAAGCTAACATGGAGGGTCGTATGGGGACATCTGGAGAAGGGGATTTTCCCACTTTTCCACCTAGGGAATAGAAAAACTTGTCTAATTCCCTCTGACAAGAAGGAACTTAGTCCAAAGAGGCAGTCTCCTCCCTCCCACCATATCTGACGGTGTCCATGTCCACTTGCCTTGCAGTACGCCATGTTTCTGTCTCTGGTGTTTCTGGCTGAGCTCGTGGCTGGCATTTCAGGGTTCGTGTTTCGTCATGAGGTGAGTATACACCAAGTGGAGAACTCAGTTCTCTCTGGGGGGAGACTTTGAAACCTCTTGGAATGTGTAAAGGGTACAGAGAGGCTAGCTGACATCTCCAGTGATATTTGCTAGTTTCCAAATGCCACCTACTGTGAGCTGAAACACCCAGAAAATTCTACATGCAGAAATTTCACCAAATCTGAAACCTTACTTGTTGACCTTCACTGTTTCTTTATTTAGCTGCGACATAAAAGGATTCTCTGGCTTGTTTTAAAACAGTGACCTTCCATTTAGGTTAAATACCTTAAAAGCCACTGCAGTGAGGCATGAATGTGTGTCTGTATATCAGGATTTCTCAGAGGGCAAAGGCAAACCAGATGAGTTGTTTGCCAAAGACAAAGTGCGCCATTTCCCCAAAGCAGCCTGTGCTCTCCTGTCTGCTCCCCAGAGTCCCTGCATGGCGCCCCCTGCCCACCGGGGTAAAATCTATACCCCAGTGGTGAGGAGCCCTGTGGCTTTGCTTGGTGGTATGGGGAAAAGGAGAGAAGACAGTCATGATTGAAAACCCCTACAGCTGCACTTTGTTTTCCATTTACATGTAAAATTTGAGATTTCTGCAGCTGGTGGAAAATCATTTTGAATCCTGTTTGGTGATCATAACTGCCCGTTTCAAGGATACTGCCAGCTGTCCTGTGTCACGTGTGGCCATCTTTCCATGTACCATTGCTGAGGCTGCTCTAGATAATGTAGAGATGCTAATGCAGAGACAGGATGTTCTCATACGATCTGTAGCCACTGCAGTATCACTTTTCAGGTGTATATACTGATGAGAGGTCAGAAAGTGTATATGCTACAAGAGATTCTGGTTCTAACCCCCCTTCCCAAATTCATTATTGTCCCTTCTCAACCAGCTGTCCCCAACATTTTTGGCACCAAGGACCAATTTTGTGGAAGACAATTCTTCCGTGGACCGAGGGTGGGGGGTGGTTTCAGGATGATTCAAGCACATGACATTTATTGTGCACTTTATTTCTCATCTCATGCTGCCACTGATCTGACAGGAGGTGCCGGTCTGCAGCCCAGAGGTTGGGGACCCCTGCTGTAGATAACAGTAAAGGTAGAAGCAGTTATACCTGTGTTAGGATGGAAAGAAATAGCAAGAGGGAGGTGAGAAAGACAGTGAGGTGGCATGTTTCTGGGGCTCCTGAATTCTGGCATCAGCTGCTCGCAGGCCCTGCCTTTGTGCTTGGCCAAGTCTGGTGAGCCTGCCTTAGGCACTGCCCATGCCTTTCCCCTACTGCCCTGCTTTCGCCTTTACCAGACATGGCCTCTCAGATGCCAAGGTGGACTTCTAGAACTGTTTCATGTGGGTGCTGCATCCAAAGTTCGACCCCCCATTCTTATTCTCAGCTGAGGTAAAACCTGATGAAGCCTTGACAGCCCAAGAGGTGCCCCCAATGCCTGTGTGAACCCCAGGCCCAGCTCCCTCCCATGTGCTGTTGGGACTGGGTTCCATGTAGGGGTTTACATGGTTCCTGATATGTAGGACCTGAACCTGCTCAGCTGCCTAAATTCTTTTCACTGAAAAAAAAATACAGTGGGAAGGGGTGGCTGGGGGTTGCAACACCACTCTTTGGTCACCAGTAGTGGTCTTCAGTTGGGCAAACACATATGATGAATGTGAAATACACATGATGAACACACAGGCAAACACATGATGAGAATAGGTCACAACCTGGCGGTGTTGACTGAGAAGGGTATAATAAAGGAAATACAATGTGCAGGCAGGGCAGTAGTGGGTTGTTTCTTCATCAGGAGTCCTCAAAATGGTCCAGGCTCAAGCCTGTGTAGACATGCCCATGCCTCAGAGACAATGCACATGCAGTAAAACAAGAGGACACAACTGGATGTGGCGACCATCTTGACTTAGGAACTCCCTGTGGAGTTTTTTTTTTAATCTCTTGTAACTGTCCCATGGGCATAGTGTCCAGTATTTCAGCAAGGAACATGCCTTGTTAGAAGAGTCTCCATGTTTAGCCCTAAACTTCCTGCCAGGTAATAATTGTCATTTCCTCTCCTCCAGGCCTGAGTCATTTCACCAATCAGGGGGCAGTTTTTTTTTACCATAAGCAGGGTTGCTTGGTAACACAGTCTGATGCTCCTCCTTCCCTGTTTCCAGGGAAACAGAACATGAAAGTTAACCCAAGGTCAAATGTGTTCACAGAGGAGAAAGGGTTTGGTTAACTATTTATTAACAAGTAAAGTCCATGTCCTTTAGCCTTTATTTTTTATTTCAGTAAAGACAGGTAAGTGAAAGCTGGTTTTGCCTCACTCCTGTATGGTAGACCAGGGGTCTGATTTGAGTGAAAACATCAGTCTTTCCGTCTCCCCTTAACCCCTTCCCCGCCAATGGCTTGTTCTTTGTCATTCTTCTGAGAAAGGGCAGAAAAAAGTTATAGAAAGAAGGATAGTCATTAACCAATTCAAGGAAATAACTAAAAAACCATCAGAGCCCTTTCTGAATCTGACTGACCACTTTCAGTGGCTCATTTAACTAGGCAGGGTTCCTCTGAATTGGGGGTAATGGAAACAATTTGTTTAAACTCCTGAGCTGATAAACCTCTTGGTGAATTTTCTGAGCTCTTCTATCTCAGAAAAAGGCATCCCCTTCCTGGCCTACTTTTATTCAGAAGAAGCTATTTTGAGGGTGTCAGTTGGTATAAATCTATGCCCACCTGGGCCACAGTAGACTGGAACCCCATCCCCCTCATTGTCTTCCCTAGATCAAGGACACCTTCCTGAGGACTTACACGGACGCCATGCAGAATTACAATGGCAATGACGAGAGGAGCCGGGCTGTGGACCACGTGCAGCGCAGTGTAAGTTCCAGCAAGGAAGTGGGGCTTGCAACTGCCTGAGAGGTTGGGGGACTTGTGGGCTGCCGGTGACACTGGACCGGCAGTGTTTGCGGTTGATCCCCACTCCCCACCTCTTGGCTCCCTTCCCTTTCCAAGAGTGGACATCCAGTACTTGTTTAGGGTCCAGTGATCCAGGTAATTAGTATCAAGGCACACTCCTATCTGGTTTGCTTTTCAGCCGTAAGGATGTGAGCATCCCAAGGAGAGCAGAGCTAGTTTGCCCTTAAAATTGCCATATGTAAAATAGATAACCAATGGGAATTTGCCGTATGACTCAGGGAACTCAAACAGGGGGTCTGAAATAACCTAGAGGGTGCGATGAGATGGGAGGTGGGAGGGATGTTCAAGAGGGAGGGGACATATGTATACTTATGGCTGATTCAAGTTGATGTTCGGCAGAAACCAACACAATTCTGTAAAGCAATTGTTGTTCAGTCACTCAGTTGTGTCCGACTCTTTGCAGCCCCATGGACTGCAGCACGCCAGGCCTCTCTGTCCATCACCAACTCCCAGAACCTGCCCAAACTCATGTCCATTGAGTCGGTGATGCCATCCAACCATCTCATCCTCTCTTGTCCCCTTCTGTTCCTGCCTTCAATCTTTCCCAGCATCAGGGTCTTTTCTAATCAGTCAGCTCTTCGCATCAGGTGGCCAAAGTATTGGAGCTTCAGCTTCAGCATCAGTAAGGCAATTATCCTTCAATTAAAAAATAAATTTAAAAAAATCTTGGTGAATTTTCTGAGCTCTTCTATCTCAGAAAAAAGGCATCCCCTTCCTGGCCTACATTTATTCAGAAGAAGCTATTTTGAGGGTGTAAGTTGGTATAAATCTATGTCCACCTGGGCTGCAGTAGACTGGAAACCCATCCCTCAAAGCCTTGGAAAGGAGAGGTAGGCAGTGAGTGTAGGACAACCTTACTTTGAGTTGCCTCCCTAAGACCAGCCTTCTGGAAATGGTGTCTTGAGGCTGGGCAGAGAACTCAGTTGAGCTGCATTCATGGGCTTGGGGGCTACCGTGGGCATGGGGTGGGGACATCTCAGAGAAACTGGGGATCTGGCATGCATGTGAATGGCTTAGGCTGAGTGGTGATCTTTACAGAGGCTATGAGGAAAGTAGGTGTTTCTTGTCTGGAAACAAGCCTGGCTTGTTTCAAGCCTGACTCCCATCAGGATCACCTAGAGAAGTTCTTATTTTTTATGTTTCTGGCTATTTATTTTGGTAGGATTTCAAATCTACCCAGAAAAATTGCAAGGATAGTACAAGGAGCTGAACACCTTTTACCCCAATTCACCAACTGATGATATGTTTTGCCCCATGTGCTTCCCTATCTTCTGTGTCAGCAGTTGGCACATCTTTGCTGTAAAGGGTCAAGCAGGAATTATTTTAGGCTTTGAAGGCCATGCAGCCCGTCACAGCCACTCACTTCTGCTTTTGGAGCACAAAAGCCTCCCCAGAAAACATGTAACACATAGGCATGTCTGTGTCCCAATAAAACTTGATTTACAAAACCAGGTAGCTGGGGGGTTGTGGTTTACCCACACCAGCTCTCTTCCTCCATGTGCATCTTTTTCTTCTCAAAACCACTTATGTACCTGTTAGTGCAGATCCTGGGGGAGAGCTTTGTAAAAGATTTTTGTCTCGGCTCCCCATCGACCATCTCGATTCAGTTGATCTCTGTATCAGTCTCTTTAGTAGCGCCCAGTCACATGCTAGCTCATTTTGGTGCTTAGCCAGGCCAGAGAACAGCTCTTTGGCTTTGTGGACGTCATAAGGAAACCAACATGACATATCATCTAGAATTCACTTCCTTCGCTGAGTTCACACGGGCTGGTCAGTAAGTAGAATTGTTAGCAGCGTTTCAGCACATCTTGGCTCATCAAAGCTGTGCCTGTTGCCTCAGAGCCTGGGCCCATGTTTTTCTTTTAAAAGCTGCAAGGCGCTAAGTGCGGAGACCACAGTGCCTTTGATGTGCCACCCTTAATTCTTTTCCTTTCCCTGTTAACAGCTGAGCTGCTGTGGCGTGCAGAACTATACCAACTGGAGCACCAGCCCCTACTTCCTGGAGCATGGCATCCCCCCGAGCTGCTGCATGAATGACACCGATTGCAACCCCCAGGATCTGCACAACCTGACTGTCGCCACCACTAAAGTGAACCAGAAGGTACTCGCTCCCTCTCAGCCTCAATGGGACTCAGTAGTGAACATCTGCAGAGGGCTTTTTTGTCTCTGTGAAATGATGACAAATAGGTTAGAAATGGTCATCTTGGAGACAGTCAAGAATCTTCCTCTGTGGTGCTTCCTGGGCAGGGAGAGGCCCTGGGTGCCCCACTTCTGAAGGAGAAAGCTGTGCCTCTGCTCGCCTCGCATTCCTGTCCCTCAGCAAGACTCTCCGAGGCATAGTTAGGAAGGGTTTGCAAGTGGTTCCTGTTAACCCTGATGCTGATGTCAGGGAACACTGCCTTTCTTCTTTCTGGTGTCTGTCTTCTGCTTAATATACCTTCAAAACATGAAATTGTTCCCAGCTGGGTGCCAGTCCTCAGCAGAAAGAGGGAGTCGAGTTGACAGACAGCATGTGGTTCTGCAAGGATGGGGGGGGCCTTGATTTTAGGGACGTCACTGCTATAGGAAAAGAAATCAACGACTTCAATTCAGCTCACTGTCAACATCCTGACTCCTAAAGAAATTAGAGAGAGGAAAAAGCTGTCTAAGAGAAATCTGAAAGTTAGTACATAGTAGAAATGAGGGAAATGAAATTTAGGTAGTCAGAGGAAAAGGAAAATCAATTCTGTATTCCATTCTGAGGACATGGTACAGCTGTGTGTGAGGGCCATCTCTGTTTTTAAAGATTTAGAGAAATGCCACATAGAAAATACGTTTTGGTGAAACAATAGGGAGAAAAACCCTACTGTTGAGTTTATCCATGGTTATGCCACCATCAGGTAAATTTTTTCTTTTCTTACTAAGGTCAAGTGAAGACCTTCAAAATCCTATGGGATCTGGGCCAACTACTGAATAATTCACAGAAAATAGCCATCCTTTCAAGATTTGAATGTAGAAAGATAGTTTCTATAATTTACCCATGTAATGTCGATACTTGTAGCAGAAGTGCTACAAGGCATTGTTGCCATTCTAGAAGCTCAATTTGTCATTCTGGGCTTATTACTTTCTGTCAGTGTGGTGAGGTAAGATGTTCAGTACAGACAGCTGCTTGTCTGAGCTAAGAGGACATCTGTTCTGGCTGGAATTTTTGAGGCTTTCCTCACCTCTTGACAGTGAGGTGACTCCTGGTTTCTTCCTGGATGCCTCCACTAATCACCTATCTGTCATTATGTTGCCACTGTATGCAGTGCTGAGCTGACCCAGCCCTCAGTGGATGCTCCAATGTATAAAAGGCCAGATGTGCTTTATGGCCATGAGATATTGGTACAGCAGAGCCTCAGGAGATCCTTTGGAGATACAGCAGCCATCACTCTTGAGAAAAGCCTTTTTTAAAAAAAAATTCACTCAAACTACTTCTTTTGTGAAAGTTGAGGACTTTGAAGTCAGGACCACAGGGCTGGCATCAGACTGCAGTTAAGTTGTCTCAGCCACTTGCTGGTCGTGTGATCTTGATCAAGTTACTGCAGCCTTGCTTTTCTCATCTGTAAAATGGAGAGAATAATTCTTGCCCCTTAGGATTGATAGGATTGAATGAGATAAAGTGTCTAAAGCACAGTTCATGGTAGAGAGTAAGGACAAGAACATTTTAACTGTCATGTTAAATGGTAGTTGTGGTGTCCATGTCATGACAATGACAGCGACATCTGTCTTGCACTCTACCACACTGTGCCTTTCATTGGAAATGATGTAGCAGGTCCTCGGAGCCAGGGTCTTTTGTTTGTATTCAAAAGCAAGTTTAGAGGCAGCTTCTATAGTGCATTTCTCTAATCCTGACAGTGATTTCCAGAAAGAAAGATTGGGGAGCATTTTTTTCACTCTAGTGACAACCTACAAACTGACCTCGCTCTCAGCACCATCCCCCCAATCCTACTTTACATTTTCCTGAACATCTCAAAGATACCTCGAAGAGGTACTTTTCCCTCACTTCCTGTTTAGTCTCCCATCTGGCTTCCTCTCTGGAGAAGAAGTGAGTGACAACTGAAATTGGCCTAGTTTAAGTTTCATTAGGTATTCTCATTGAACGCCCAGCTGAACTTTGAACTTCTCAGACAAATTAGTTCCCAGGTCTGAGTCTCTTGACACCTTATCTATAAGAGTTAGGCGAGGGACCTCCCTGGTGGTCCAGTGGTTAAGAATCTGCCTTCCAATGCAGGACACAGGCATTTGATCCCTGGTTGGGGAACTGAGAGGAACTAAGACCCCACATGCCATGGGGCATCTAAGCCTGCACATCACAGCTAACGACCATGTGCTGCAATGAAGTCAATGGCGCAAATAAACATATAAATATTTTTTTAAAGGTGATGCATATGGGGTGGGATAGTCTTGTCCAAATCACTGGAAGAGAGCAAGCAAGAGGTGAGAACAGTTAAGCAGGATATTTACTGTTTTGAGGATAGTGTTGGTTTTGCTACACATGATGATGAAATGTCCACAGGTTCAGTTAGCTAATAGCACTGACCAAGCCCCTCCCACCTAGGAATTCCTTTCCAGTTTTTAAAGCTGCCAGGGCAAGAGGAAGACAGAAAGGTATTCTGAGATGCCTCCTCCCAGAGCCTACCTGGTAGCAGCTGTCTACTCTTGCTACCGAAATGCCTTTTACTTCCAGGTGTTTCCCATCAGAGACCCTGTTGATTTAGACTTGCTGAGAGGCTGAGCAAATTACCTGTGCTGTTTCTGGGTGTTTCTTAGGACACTTAGCAGGTCTCTGTGGCTGGATCTCACACTGGACAACCAGTCTTTCATTTTAGGACATGAAATGAGATCGTTATGGGCAGATAAGATCGTGGTTTCCTGGAGAATTTAAGGTGGAAGGCAAACATGCACTGGGGTTGTAGGATCAAAGCGGTTTGGGCAGAGCTAGGCCAAGTCCTGGGAACTGGGCTTGTGGGTCCACAGAGTGAATGACGAGAAAAACTGGAGGCAGAAAGCATTTACTGCAACCTGGGTCTTGTATTGTTTAAACAACAAAGAAGCTCATCACTTTCATCTTCTCATCTTAACTAACTCTCTTACCGCTATAACTTAATTGGTTCTTCCTTTGGAGTGAAAAGTAGTGGGGGAACTTAGAGAAGAGTGCTTCTCCAACTTTAATGGGCATGTGAAACATCTAGAGGTATTGTTAACATTTGTGAAAAGTTATTAAAAATGAGTGACCCCAGGATCTGATTCTGATTCAGTAGGTCTGGAGTGAGGCCTCAGATTCTGCATTTCTAACAAATTCCCCGGGAATACTGCTGCTGCTCATAGAAAACCCCACTTTGAGGAGCCAGATTTAAAAGGAATGATTTTGCCACAGTTGTGCTAATGCAAAGCCCTTACTTCCTTTTTCTGGTTTCTCTTACTGGTTGGAATGGGCTTATCAAAAATAATGTAACTGACTGAATGGAGAAGAAATCATACTTCCAGTTCAGTTCAGTCACTCAGTCGTGTCCGACTCTTTGCGACCCAGTGAATCGCAGCACGCCAGGCCTCCCTGTCCACCACGAACTTCTGGAGTTTACTCAAACCCATGTCCATTGAGTTGGTGATGCCATCAAGCCATCTCATCCTCTGTCGTCCCCTTCTCCTCCTGCCCCCAATCCTTCCCAGCATTAGGGTCTTTTCCAATGAGTCAACTCTTAGCATGAGGTGGCCAGAGTATTGGAGTTTCAGCTTCAACATCAGTCCTTCCAATGAACACCAGGACTGATCTCCTTTAGGATGGACTGGTTAGATCTCCTTGCAATCCAAGGGACTCTCAGGAGTCTTCTCCAACACCACAGTTCAAAAGCATCAATTCTTCAGTGCTCAGCTTTCTTCACTGTCCAACTCTCACATCCATACATGACTACTGCAAAAACCATAGCCTTGACTAGATGGACCTTTGTTGGCAAAGTAATGTCTCTGCTTTAAAATATGCTATCTAGGTTGGTCATAACTTTCCTTCCAAGGAAAACATATTCACCTTATGTGTAGAACTGAAGTTCACAGCAAAAAAAACAAAACAAAACTCTATTCTAAAAACAAACCTTTTCCAAACTATTTTGCAGAGTAAGAAAATAGACCACTTGACTTCTCTCTGGTTTCTATTATTGGGCTTGTGCTTCTATATTTTGAGCTCATGTAACACTGGTGGTCTGAATTTCATCTCCCCACCTCCCCCACATCACTGTGGGGAGGAGATACAGCAGTGAACAATGAGCAGCACAGAAAAACACTATCTTAGCTGTTGCCATTTGAGAAAGTGCTATTAGTGCTATTATGAATAGAATATCTACCTCTCTTCTTGCTTTGACTTCTTTTTAACCCAAACCAACCTCCTTTCTGATACCTGTTGGAAAAGAGTGCTATGTATAATTTCATTAGTAGAAATGAAATTAGTGAGCAAGCTTCTCTTACAAAGAGAGAATCATAGTTCAAAACTCCCCAAGAGCAACAATACACTTCCTTTGCCCCCCGCCCCTGCCCTGGCCTTCAAATTTGCACCAGGTAACTGAGGAGCATAGTTTATACATTGCATTGAAAACATGTGTCAAAGCACTGCTGCTAAAGAAATGCATCTTTCTTTGCAAACAGAATATGAGTGCATAAAATATCATTTGCTAGAAGATACAGCATTGGTGGGATTTTCCTAGGCTCCGTGAGAAATGTTAAACCATTACATTTTGAATTAAAAAATGGGAGTTATGTTTTTCGTTGTTCTTTGTTCTTCAGATGTTATTACAATTCAGTGGGCTTTTCTTGATAAACTACAATCCTCTTCACCCTGCTTTTGAAATGAATGTCTTGATTTTTCACGGGCTTCATGCATTCAAGTTTGAAGCCCTTTTCCAGAGAACTGGAAAAAGACCATGTTTTCCAAAGCTGAATACATCACTTCAGAAGTCTTGGTTGATTTGGCCCAGTTCCAGAGAAAATCAAAATCATATCATTTGTTTTAAAGAAATTGAATTTTATCCATTTTAAACTAAACAATTGAAATTGGTAAAATTGGTGTTGGTTTTAATCATAACATGGGCTCTGCCTGCAATGCAGGAGACCCAGGTTCAATCCCTGGGTCAGGAAGAGCCCCTGGAGCAGGAAATGGCAAACTGCTCTAGTACTCTTGCCTGGAGAATCCCATGGACAGAGGAGCCTAGCAGGCTACAGTCCATAGAGTTGTAAAAGAGTTGGACACGACTGAGCACAGCAGAGTTGGGGAATGCAGCAGCTAAATCACAACATGTAGAGATTTCACAGGATGGTAAATGGACACTCATTTCATTTTACAAATGAGGTTATTGACAGTGAGGGAAAGTGACTTGTTCAAGGTCACATAGTAAATCTGTGAAAAAGTGACTCTAGAACATGGGTTTTTCCCTACTAAAAAAAAAAGTAGCAGTCTTTGTATGAAGAACCCTAAAGTGCCATAAAGTTGGCAGGCATTCAACCACCTCCTTCTAACCAGATTTCACTTTATCTGCGATTTTGTCATTTGTTGTGAAAATGCTAGTAACTGTTTATCATGCTGAGCTTTCCTGATCAAGGATTCGGGATAGTTTTTCATCTGTTCAAATCTGCCTCTGGATCCCTACAGCATTGGTCTCATAGATCTTACAGCCTTCTTGTTCAGTTTCATCCTATGATGGAAACATTAGTGAATGAAAGCGTATATCTTGGATTTGCTTTTAGATACTCCAGCCAGGGGATGAGTTTTGAAGCAATTGAAGTGAAACAAGACTGACTATATGTTCATTGTGATATTAGAGGCAGGGTAACTTGGGAGTTTGTTGTACCACCCTCTGTTTCTTTTGTTTGTTTGAAATTTTTCATTGTATTTGTGAAATGAAGATTGGGGTGTATGTGTGAGTGTGGCAAGGTAACCCAGGCCCATTTGGCCTGGATAAAAGATGTCTCTGAGACTGTGTCTCTGTGTTTTCAGGGTTGTTACGATCTGGTGACCAGTTTCATGGAGACCAACATGGGAATCATCGCTGGAGTGGCTTTTGGGATTGCATTCTCCCAGGTAATCCTGTGGTCGGGTCTAGTCTTTCCTCTGTCTCCTGCTCACTTTTCCTGGTCTGCAGATTCTCTGGCCACCTCCCTGTGCCTAGGGAAAGGCTGATGGATGGGGTCAGAACTCCTTGCTCATTAGTCCTCAGGTCATCTGTTTATTGATTTTCCTTTTTCAACTTAAATGAAGTTTTGCCATCAAGGGAATATCGGTTACAGTTCAACTAATGACTAGCTCCAGAAAAACAACTCGTTTCTTCTGTAGGTCAAATGGAGGTTAGCTGAACAAAGTGCTGCCTTAATTGGAGCATAAACAACTCCAAACATCAAATGGCTGATTTGGATTTGGGGGGAGAGGGGAGAGGCTCTTTTCCTGGTTGACCTGTCCCTTTTTGATTTCTTAGTTCCTGGGAATTGTGCATGAGATCTCGTCCTAAAAAAAAAAAAATGTAGCCAACTTCATCTTGTGATCATTATTTTGATCTGAAGGTCTGATTGTTGTTTCTTAAGAGGAAACTGAATTTGTATATAGGAAATGTTATATCCCTTTATCTCCACGTGGCCTCCAGAAAAGAATGAGAGAAGCAATTATGCAAATCAAGCAGGCCACATATACTCAAGGATGGAACATGATTAAGTGAAATCCAAAATTTTGCCCACCTCCACCAGGCAGTGTGTTTGTCCCATGGGCTTCTGGTCTCCTGGTCAAATGATAGAGCATATATACCTAACAGCAACAACAACAAAAAATATAATGCAGAATTTTTTCAGATGAACAGATCATTTTTTTCCAGCAAAGCCCAATTAATGTCACCTCAGTCATGTTGCTATGGCTCTGGTTTTACCTGCCTGAATTCTACATCAGCCCTCCCAGACTATAATTACTATCCCCATGCCCCCGCAGTCCCCAGACCTCTTTCCTTCTTGCCGAACCAATACAGATACACTTTAATCCTATTTAAATTTGTTCCTAAAACTTCGCTATTGAAATATGGCATGTACAGAAAAGTGCAGACATTGTAAGTATACAGCTTAATAAGTTATCACAAGATGAGCCTATCTGTATACTTACCATCAAGGAATAGCACATTAGCCTGGCAGTTTTTGCATATGGAGGGCCTGGCCTGAGGTAAGTCGAAAAGTTTTTCTGTGCTGCCTAGGAGAAACCCTTGATTCGGGGCTCACTGAGTTGGCTCTGTGGCCCTGTGGGCAGTGAGAGAGGGAAGCCCCAAGGAAGCCTGAAACAGACTCTCCACAGAGACTTTAGGTCTCATCAAGGTACTCCAGAGTCGTTGGGATAAAAAAACAAATCCAAAGCCCAGAAGCATCACAGAGGCAGTAGCATTCACCCACGTGGCTGGTCAAGTGCAGAGATTTGAGATCTGCCGTGTTCACCTTGGGGACTGCCAAGAGCCAAGAGCCATGGGTGGCTCTTGGTAGTCAGATGCACTGGGAGCTGCGCTTTGAATGGTGCCAGGAGCCTCAGGGAACCTGGAAGCTGAGGCAGGCTTCCAGATGCCAGTAGATCCAGGGCCTCTCTGGGACCATGGTGGCCACTTAGCAGATGCCTGTTCAAGAAGAACCAGCCCTGCTGATCCTGGTCACTGACCTGGCACCAAAGCTTCAGCCACACATGTTCAGAAATTTTAGGACAAGTGTCATAGTGACACTTAGCAAATAAATGTTGGCTAAATCAATCATATTGGCCTATGTTTTGAGCTTCCAGTAAGAAAATGAACTTTGCTAAGTAGAGGCCACAGGGAGATCAAAATAAGTAGAAAAGAATAGAGCCCCCGCCTCCTGACTGCTCACTTGCCCCCACCTTCTCCTTACCCTTCTCCTCAGCTGCTCTCATGACATCCATGCTGTCCTTGGTTGGAACAAACCAGTCTTGCATACCTTTTGTCTTAGAAATTAAACAGAAGTGTGGTATAATATACCTAAATGTGGTATAGTGGACAAGCTGAAGTCTAGCCTTTTAGTAGACTTGTGAGTGCTCGGTCCCCTATTAAGTAACTTAGCTAACTTAAAGACCTTGAGTGCTGGTTATGGGCAGTAGGGGTGTGGCAGGCATTAACTACTTCTCTCCATAAATTCCCAGGTGCCTTTACCCTCTCAAGGCAAAGCCTGTTTGTCCAGACTTGATGGGCAGGTCCTGCTGCCCTGTTAATTTATAGCAGGTAGTTGAGTGTGTTTTGATAGGGTACCTCCTCCCTTGCATCTTTGGCAGCTACTCTTTTATTCGAGGGGGCTTGGGGATGGATGGACACACACACACACACACACACACACACACAGAGACACACACACACACCCCGCCTCCCTCACCCCTAACATGAACTGGCTGTCTGTATTTAGCACTTCTGTCTCTGATGTAATCAACTTCACTAGACTTGGAAACTGTTAGGCTGGATTAATCCCCCCAAAGCACAGAATGTTACAGTCCTGAGTAAGGATGGGAGAGCTGTTTTCCAGGAGGGAGAGTTGAGTGGCTTGCTTGAGGTTGGGTGACTAGTGTAGATCCACTACAATTCTGATGATCTCATCTGGTCCATAGCATTCAACATTTAGGCCAAATATAACCCTTGTTCTTGACTTACGTAGCACCTAAATGGAAGGCAGTTTGTGCCTTTATAATGAAAGTGTTTGAGTCTGTGAAATTGCAAGGAGAAAGGTACTCATCAAAAAATACCCATCCCTGTCCTGCCCATCCATCCCCTGTCCTGCCCAACCCTCTCCTCGGCAGGGCCTCCTCCAGGGCCCACAGGCTGCTGCCACGATTTGTTATGGACCAGGGGTTCTTTTCCAGGACTTGTTTATCTTTTCTGTATCTAGGACAAGACAAAGCTGTCAGTAGCCTCGATGAGACATGGCCAAATAAGGCTAACAGAATTTTTACCTATTCCTCTACTGTTTTCAGGCTCTGAAACAGTCCCTAAAAGTATTTATATGGTTTTGTTTTAAATCAGATTCCTTGGCATGTTCCTAAAGATGTGGAAGTTTTATTTACTTTCCCAGTTAGGCCATCAACATAAAATCTCTACAGGCATTATGAAAAGTGAAAGTGTTAGCTGTTCAGTTGTGTCCAACTCTTTGGGACCCGATGGACTATAGCCCACCAGACTCCTCTGTCCATGGAATTTCCCAGGCAAGCATACTGGAGTGGGTTCCCAGTCCCTTCTCCAGGAGATCTTTCTGACCCAGGGATTGAACCCAGGTCTCCTGCATTGCAGGCAGATTCTTTACTATTTGAGCCACCAGGGGAGGCACTGAGAAGATTGAAATTTTAGATCTATTGTTAAGCAAGTTGTCTTTTATAGCTTTGTTACCTGGCCTCTCTTTGCCCCTCAGGGATCAGGGACTGGCCCGTGTGGTGGCCATAGTGATTGCAGGGGAAGATACCCCTGCCCCATTGCCTCTGACAGCCCTGGTCTTGGTTGAGCTAGACTCCACCCTCTCTCAGCCCCTCTCCCCTACCCCTTGGCCTACACCCTGTTCCTGGGGATCTGCAGAACCCCATTGATGTGGTCCCTGTTACTGGAGCTCTTTGTAGGAAAGCTTCGATAAGGCTAGAGTTGGCCTTCTGTAAGTCTAGGGGCTTTTTTCTCTCTTTCCCTCTGTAGCTTCTCAGTTCTTGAAGGTCCTCCCAGAGGCTTTTGTGACCCAAAAGAAAGCAGAACATAGTACAAACAAGGCTGAGTGGTAGAAATAAAATGTTACTTCCAACAATTAGACGAAGGCTAATTACAAAGTCTTTTAGATGACCAAATACCAGTAATCTGATCTCAAACTCCCTAGGCTGTATGGGATTTGGCATTTCACCAGCCATGAGAAGAGGGAGAGGCAGCTCTGGGATCTCCATCCTGAAGGCTTTTTAGCAGAAGAGGCAAGCTCTCTTCTTCCTGTCCCTCTCTCTGGGGTTTAAAGCAGAAGTTTGTCCCTGTGCCCACATACTCCAGCCTTAACACATCAGCCCCAGAGCATACCTCTGGTCTTGAGGGATTTACATATATTTAACCTAAAGAAAGGTTTCATCTAAATAAGAATGGATTTTTCTATCTACAGAATAATTGGGTCTAGTGGCAAGTGTTTGGTCCTGATTCAGACTGAGGAAGAGCCTGTGTGTTTACCTTTAATAGGCTTTCAGTTACGTACCTAGAAATAATCTGTTAATAAATGGTATTAAGTATAGCATGTTCCCCCCTCCCCACTTTCCTTTAATTTGGTGATAAAGGGAAATGAGAGATCAAAGTTCTCTCTCAAATATGATGAAACACTATAGCAAATGTGAAATCAGTAACCCTGCAAATAATTCAGAACACCCACCATATCCCAGATCCTAGTTTTTCTTGCACCAAAATTAACTAAAATAAAAGCCAATATATGTAAACTACTGTTCTCACAAAGTTTGTATATACCCCAGCTCAGGAGTTTTTTAAGCAACAGTTTCTTAGTAGATGTTAAAAAATAATTTTTAAACATCTGTCTTCTTCCATGGACAAACAGAAGAAGGTATGTTCTTGCCCTAGAAATACAAAATACAGTTTGAAAGCAAATAGCTTTTATTTTTACTTACATTTTTAAAGTTATTATTTCTGTGAGAAAGTCTATCCACTGGAGAGGGAGGTGGGAGGGGGGACCGGGATGGGGAATACATGTAAATCCATGGCTAATTCATTTCAATGTATGACAAAAACCACTGCAATGATGTAAAGTAATTAGCCTCAAAAAAAAAAAAAAAGACTTCACTTTCAAAAAAAAAAAATTAAATTAAAAATTATAAAAAAAAAAAAGATACTGTTTCTGTTTGGGGGTAAAAAGGTGGAGGGACACACTATATTCCCCTGAAAACAGGCATTTTAGATACAAGAAATATTGATACATACTACAGATTGTTTTGGCTGTGCGGCTTGTGAACTGCCATGGGGGCCGAGAGCAATGCAAACCACTGAATACAGGAGCATTGCAAATTGTGAAGTGGCATGGTGACTACTGTAAGTGCTAAAACATACTAGAGGTCAATGAAAAACAAACCTGAAGTGCTAATAAGCTTTACAAAGAAAGGAGTGTCTAGGAACTTGAGATCAAATAAAGACATGCCCACTGAAAGCCCTCTCCCTGAAGTATGCAATGTAAGGCAGGAAGGGAGCCCTGGTGGTGAGAGGCAGAGGAGTTATTCTGGAGAGGAAAGGGTCTAGGCTAGAAAGGGGGCTCTTCTTGGTTAGAAGAAGAGGCTGGAGCCATAAACTCTGTGTGGGCTTCCTGTATGGTTTGAGGGGGGTTCTTTAACCTCTCCTGAATCTGGGTGTTCATTGGAAGGACTGATGTTGAAGCTGAAACTCCAATACTTTGGCCACCTGATGGGAAGAACTGACTCATTTGAAAAGACCCTGATGCTGGGAAAGATTGAGGGCAGGAGGAGAAGGGGACGACAGAGGATGAGATGGCTGGATGGCTTCACTGACACAATGGACATGGGTTTGGGTAAACTCCGGGAGTTGATGATGGACAGGGAGGCCTGGCATGCTGCGGTTCATGAGGTCTCAGAGTCGGACACGACTGAGTGACTGAACTGAACTGAACTGAACCCATTTACTTATCTGGAAAATTGGGATGGTAGTACTGCCCAGGTGTGTAGTAGGGATTAAATAACTCGGTATTCCCAAGGGTTCAGTGTGCCTCTGGTTTTTGGCTGGCATCTGATTTTTGAGAGTATCTAAAGTGTGATCTGGTGTATGTTGGTCCTGAAAAATAGCAGATATAATGAAAAGAGAAAAACTATACGGCTCAAAATCCTTGTACTCATGGAGGGGATTTTATTTTCTCATTTGGCACAATATTCTGGTAGCTCAGAGGGTAAGGAATCTTTCTGCTCTGGTAGCTCAGAGGGTAAGGAATCTTTCTGCAATGCAGGAGACCTGGGTTTGATCCCTGGGTCAGGAAGATCCCCTGGAGAAGGAAATGGCAGCCCACTCCAGTATTCTTGCCTGGAGAATCCCCATGGACAGAGGAGCCTGGCGGGCTACAGTCCCTGTGGTTGCAAAGAGTCAGACATGACTGACAACTAACACTTTTCTGGAGGTTACAGCCATGGTTACTTTGGCCGCTTGGTATAGGCACAGTACTGTGTATTTTGTGGCACAAAATGATGGCTAGAGCCTTGATAGGAAATGAGTTCAATAGGATGGTGACTTTTCCTTACCTGACAGAGGTTATAATCTGCATGTTTCATAGCACAATTTCCATTGATAAAGGAAGAGAAGAATCTGGGATTTGACCAAGAGAGGTAATCAGGTGGGCTGCAGCCTGCAAAGTTGAGCAGAGAGGAAGAAGAACAGAGTTCAGGTGTTGCCTTGATCAATAGTAGGACCCAATGTGTAATCTGTAAGATAAGGGTGACCAGATAGACTGGGTGAATGGTTCTGTCACCTAGAAGGCTGGTTAAAACATCATTGTCTGGGCCCCACTCCTAGATGATGCTGATTTGGCTGGTCCTGGGGCCACCAAAGTGTATGAAAGTCACTAAGTTGTGTCCGACTCTTTGTGACCCCATGGACTATATAGTCCATGGAATTCTCCAGGCCAGAATACTGGAGTGGGTAGCCGTTCCCTTCTCCAGGGGATCTTCCCAACCCAGGGATTGAACCCAGGTCTCCTGAATTACAAGCGGATTCTTTACCAGCTGAGCCACCAGGGAAGTTATACTAGACTTTATACTAGACATTATACTAGACTGTCTCTCAAGGTCATTGCCACCTCTGAACCAATAACACATGGCCAGTTGCTTAAGAAGAAGCAACCCTCACCTGGCCAAGAGAAGCTGTAGACATTCAGACTCAAGTACACAGTCAGAGTCCTGTCCAAAAAGTGCTTATCTTCCTGAGTCAGGAATGAGAACTGTGGTCTCCAGTGAGCAGAACAGATACAGTGAAGTAACAGCTTTTTATCAGATTCACTTGTGTTAGAAATTAAGTCAAAGCACAAAGTAGGTAGGAGATTGGGAAGGTGGATATTGGTTGTGCTGAAAACCCAGGGGGTAGACACTGGGTGTAGATGGGCCCATTTAGGCCTAAAATATGTACATGGTTTAGAGATAAAGAGAAGTTCAAACCCGCCCCCCACCCCACCTCACAAACCATGACTTACTTCATGACTTACTTACTTGGCAAACTCTCCAAGTCCAGAATAGCATCCCATTGTCTCAGGGAAAGAACTATCATCTTGTCAGCCAGGTATGACTGGAGTATCAGCCTATGCTGAGATAGCTTCCCAATGCATGTGGTTATGGTTCTAAATTCAATTCTGGCATTCAGTTCTACCATACTAATGCCAGGTAGTTACTACTACCTTGCTGTAGTAACTTAATTGTTTTCATTATGCTCAGAACATAGGAACACATTTTAATATTACTTGCGTCAAAAGTCATTTTTCAATGGCCAGAGTGAACTAGAACTGTAACCTTATGGCCAGTTCGAGACTTTCTAGCTGTCCTCCACCAGCACTTAAACTTCCTAAGTCTTTGCTCCCACTACTGAAATCAGGCTTGACTGTTTTTCCTAGTGCCCTTTCCCCATTCATGTACAAAAGCCCTCAGCTGATAAAAATTAAATCTGGGTGGAGGGGGGCGGGTCAAAGAAATGTGTTCGCTCAGTGACTTGAGAGCCTGTTGTCTTTTTCCTTCTGCCAACAGCTGATTGGCATGCTGCTGGCCTGCTGTTTGTCCCGGTTCATCACGGCCAACCAGTATGAGATGGTGTAAGGAGGTGAGTGGCGGTGGGGAGGGCTCTCCCTTTGGGGCCTGGACTCCCCCCTTCAAAGGGATGAAGGTACTGCTTGGTCACTTCACTACTTGTTCTCGGTGGCACTTGGCCATGTGCCAAAGCCTCATTTCTCTGGTGCTGGGCAAGAGATGTGATTATTGCTACTGTGGCAAACATCAAAATGTTCTCTTGCACTTGTTACCTTAAGTCCTTATTAATGGTGAGTCACTTACGTGTTTTAATTTCTCTCTTAGTCTTTCAAGAATGATGGAATGAGAGACCTGTTTGCAAAAGGAACTGCAGCAATCTTTGAAAGACTTCCAAAGAATGTTAGAGCACAGTACATCATACACCTGTCCTAACCCCCACCCAACCCCGTGAGCAACTGCAACTGACGCTCCCACACAGCCTCTGCTCCACCTTTCAGCCTGCATCATGCGTAGCGTTCCATTTTGTGAAGCCCTGTTGTGCCAGAGTGTAGCCAGGTTCCCTGCATCTAGTCCTAGGGGACCCCACCCAAGGCCCTGTGCGTGCCACCTCCTCCATCTGTACTTGGTCCAACTGCAGCTCATTGTAGGTGACTGGTTCTCCACACCATCACTGGCCCTGCTGGGCCCTGCATGTAGTGTGGGAGGCTCCTGTTAGCCCTTGATCATGATTGATAAACGCTGCACACCCCCTAGATATAGATAAGCAGATAGCTATCAGTTCTTTTGGCTTAATCTCCTTTGGTTGGGTTTTCCCTCTTACTAAGGCTCTTTCCTACCTTCTTCAGGCTGCCTAGGGCATGTAATACTTTGTAATTGTCCTTGAGGAGAAAAGAGCATGTGTCATGCACGGAGGAGATTATCAAGCTTTGGGTGGCCTCCTTGCTCCTTGCTGTTACATGCTTGGGAACGTATAGAGGGTTTAGTGCGCCTGTATAACCCTGTTACAAAGCTGTATTGTTGCTTCCTGTGAAGGAAATAATGACTTCTGTTTTTCCCCAATTAATTGCTATTGTGTTATTTTACTTCTTTCTATATTTTTTCTTTGCATTGACATTACAGACATCGAGGACCTCATCAAAATCAATTTAAAAATGAGTGTGAAGGGGGAACAAAAGTCAAGATATTTTTAAAAGATCTTAAAAAAATGCCTCTGTCTCGCATGCCAAGAATGCATTGATATTGTGAACATTTGTGATACATGTATTAATAAATAGTCATTACAAATTACTGTGTTCTGGTCTTGTTCTTAAAATTTTTAAACACATTTCTATTCCATTTTGTTCATAGGACAGGGGTCCTCAACCCTCGGGATCTAATGCCTGATGATCTGAGGTGGAGGCTGATGTAATGATAATAGAAATAAAGTATGCAATAAATGTAATGCATTTAAATCATCCCAAAACCATCCCCCCCGCCTTCCCCCTGGTTTGTGGAAAAACTGTCTTCTATGAAATTGGTCCCTGGTATAAAAAAGGTTGGGGACCACTACCATAGCAGATTGGAGGTGGACCACCTTACACACTAACACATCCTCCCTTACAAGCTCCAACTCCACTAAATAGCACTAAACAGTATAAAAATTGAAGGGGTAGATTTTTTTCTTAATGGACACTCCAGGAACTTGAATCATTTATCATAAACAGGATGTACTGTTGGCTGCAAAAATAGAATCTTCATATTTCAGGCTAGAAACAGATTTCAGAGTTTTTAAGTCTGAATGTCACCTTAAAAAGGGAAATGAACATCTACTTTCCCCCTTATTGTTCTTAATGATCATGTATTCTTCCCTTCCTTCATTCTTCTCTGGATTGAATAAACTCAATCTAGAGAAGAGATGACATCATACCATTCAGTTGTCCCAATGCCATGGCTTTTATTAATACTAAAGTATGAAATCCTTATACTTGATTTAAAGAGCATTTTAGCAATAGGTACAGTATATATTTTCTGCAATCTATTTTTTTTCCTTAATATGTGTGCATGTGTGTTAGTCACTCAGTCATGTCTGACGCTTTATGACCCCATGGACTATATAATTCTCCAGGCTTCTCTGTCCATGGAATTTTCTAGGCAAGAATCCTGGAGTGCATTGCCATTCCCTTCTCCATTCCTTCTTAATGGATCATCCTTAAAAACTAGTAGAAGCATTTATTGATCTTTCCCCAAATAAGTGGATCTAAAAAGCTCCATTTTCTCTGATGTAGATGGTGTTCTAACTATATCCACATATTATTCTACAGAACTCTACAGGAAGTAAACCCTAAAAGGCTTACAATATCTGACCTACACCCTCAGATATTCCCTCTTCAAAAGGTCAGCATTTTTAGAGAATTAGAGATCTCTTCTCTATAGCCCAAAACTTTTCAAAGTTTCATTTACATTTCTCTTTTGTTATATAATAAAAGGAGGCTTTTCTGTAAAATTCTAAATAGAGCCCCATCCATGGTTCACCTTTTTGCAAACTATGCATTCACTAGTATACTAATACTGTTATACTTTGGTAAACAAGAAATCTATACACTTTCTAAATTGAATTTGGATCTCACCATTATATAATTTCAGTGTGAAACATTTAACTAAGATTTATTTGAACTTAAAAGTATTGATGTTTCAACCTTACTCAGAAATAAAGTATATTTAGCTTTAAAAGGTATTGCCTCACATTATTCCAAAGTCATTATACTAATTCATACTCCCACCACAGAGTAGAAAAGTTCCAGTTTTTTCACATCAACACTTGTTATCCTCAGACTTAGTTTTTTTGCCATTCTGAATGTATGGAGGTATCTCAGTTTGACTTCACATTATTATTGGTAATACTGAACATTCACTTTGTCATTGACTACTTTGATATATTTATTTATTTATTTATTGGCCAGGGTGTGTGGCATGTGGAATCTTAGTTCCCTGGCCAGGGATTGAATCTGTGCCCCCTGCAGTGGAAGCATGAAGTCTTAACCACTGGACTGCCAGGGAATTCCCGATATCTTCTTTTATGAGGTGTTCAAGTCTTGTGTGTTTTTTGAAAACTCAGTTATTTTAATTGATTTGTAGGAATTCTTTATGTATTCTGGATGCAAATCCTCACTTGGATGTATCAATATTTATAGCAAATATTTTCTCTCTGCCTATCATTTGATTTTTCACATACAATTAGTTTTTTCCAGCTTTATGGACTTCCCAGTGGCTCAAGTGGTAAAGAATCTTCCTGCAGTGTAGGAGACACAGGTTTAATTCCTGGGTTGGGAAGATGCCCTGAAGGAGGAAATGCAACCCCTCCAGTATTCTTGTCTGGGAAGTCCCATAAACAGAGGAGCCTGGAAGGCTACAAATAGTCAGACATGACTGAGCATGCATACACTACTGAGATGTATTTGATATAATATTGTATAGGCTTGAAGTGTACAAGTTGATGACTTAATCCACTGATGTATTGTTAATTGCTACTAAACAACTAGTGGATCACTGAAGGAATCAAACAGTAGATCAAAAAATACCTAGAGACAAATGAAAATGAGAGCACAAGTATCCAAAACCTATGGGACACAGCAAAAGCTGTTTTAAGAGGGAAGTTTATAGTGATGCAATCTTACCTCAGCAAATAAAAATCTCAAATAAACAACCCAACCTTATGCCTAAAGCAACTAGAGAAAGAAAATCAAATTCCAAAGTTAGTAGGAAATAACTTATAAACATCAGAGCAGAAATAAATGCAATAGACTAAAAAAATAGAAAAGATCAATGAGACTAAAAGATGGTCCTTTGAAAGGATAAAATTGATAAATTTATTTAAATTTATAAATAAAATTGATAAATTGAAAATTTATTTAATTTTATCAATTGATAAAATTTTGCCAGACACATCAAGAAAAACAGGGAGAAGGCCCAAATCATTAAAATCAGAAATGAAAAAGTTACAACTGACACCACAGAAATAAAGGATCTTAGATTACTACTAACAACTATATACCAATAAAATGAAAATATATAAGAAATACACAAATTCTTAGAAAGGTACAATCTCCAACACTGAACCAGGAGAAAATAGAAAATATGAATAGGCCAATTACCAGTACTGAAATTGAAACTGATTTAAAAACTCCGAACAAACAGAAGTCCAGAACCATATGGCTTCACAGGTGAATTCTATCAAACATTCAGAGAACAGTTAACATCTATCCTCCTGAAACTATTCCAAAATATTGCAGAGGAAGGGACACTTCCAAACTCATATTATGAAGACATCATTACCCTGATGCCAAAACCAGACAAAGATACCACAAATTAAAAAAATTATAGGCCAATATCACTGACGAACATAGACACAAAATTTCTCAACAAAAGACTAGCAAACTGGATCCAATATATTAAAAGGATCATTCACTGTGATCAAGTGGGATTTATCCCAGGGATGCAAGGATTTTTTTCAATATTCACAAATCAATTAGTGTGATACACCACATTAACAAAATGAAGAATTAAAACCATATGATCATCTCAATAGATGCAGAAAATGCTTTTGGTAAAATTCAGCATCTATTTATGATTAAAAATACCTCTCCAGAAAGTGAGCCTAGAAAGAACATTGTCAATATAATAAAGGCCATATATGACAGACCCACAGCTAATATACTCAACAGTGAAAAGCTGAAAACTTTTCCTCTAAGATGAGAAACAGGACAAGGATGTCCACTCTTGCCACTATTATTCAAAATAGTTTTGGAAGTCCTAGCCATGGCAATCAGAGAACAAAAAACAAAAGGAATTCAAATTGGAAAAGAAGTAAAACTGTTACTTTGCTGATGACATGATACTATACATAGAAGATCCTAAACATGCTACCAGAAAACTACAAGAGCTCATCAATGAATGTGGTAAAGTTGAAGTATCCAAAAGTAAAACACAGAAATCTTGCATTTCTATATAGTAACAATGAAAGACCAGAAAGAGAAGAAAACAATCCCATTTACCATTACATCAAAAAGAAGAAAACACCTAGGAATAAACCT